TCTTCTTCTTCTTCTTCTTCTTCTTCTTCTTCTTCTTCTTTCAGAGAGAAAGAGAGAGAGAGAGAGAGAGAGAGAGAGAGAGAGAGAGAGAGAGAGAGAGAGAGAGAGAGTTCAGGCATTGGTTTCACGGGCATATGCCCAGGATCTGGTTCGACATTTTTGTGGCAGACATTGATTGGACACTCGGCCAGGGACTATGTTTTGGACTTCGCTATAGCGATCTTGGTCTTCTCCCTCGCCTCCATCTTCGTCTCGCCTTCCCCCATCTCTCGTCCATGGTATCTCCCCCCATGTGCGTGTGCAAGGAGGGACCTTTCTTCTATGTATGTGGTCCCTCCTCTCTCTCACACGTGTGGTGTATGATGGGTGTTGCGTCAGTATCTGACATGTCAGATCATATCTTGTTCCACTGCGCTACATTGTGCTATTTCATATGTATCTGGATGTGCATTGCCTGTTGATGCTTGGCTGATGCTGCATTGCCCAGACGAGTCCATTTCGTCACTTTGCGGATCCTTGGCTCCCCCTACATCGCCGGATTGGGCATGCTGCATGGAAGCTTACTTGAGTGGGTGTATCCAGGGTGACGATCGAGGACCAGAGAGAGAGAGAGATGGAGTGAGGCAGAGCAAGCCAAGTCAGAGAGAGAAGCAAGACTTAAAGAGAGAGAGAAGCCATGGCCGCCAACAAGTTGGGATTCCGTTGTGTAAACTCTCATGTGAATGTTCATTGATGTATGCGTGGTGGAACTTGACGAGTACTTGGTTCATTTCATTCTGACTCCTTGCACTCGAGTTCGTTCAGTTGACGCTCGTGGCGTGGATGATACTAACCACTAAATGTCAGATCCTGCGGACTCGTAGGGATTTGGATTGATAACCAGTCTGCCCCATCATGCCCAAAGAACATACAAGCCTCCATGATACCGAAGCGGTTTCACCCAGATCGCGTGACAGTGCAGATCCCAGGGCTTGATCCCTGGACCTACCCGTACCCCTGTACAGCTACCCGTAGACCCCGTGAGCCTCGAGCCCGCGACCTGTCCCTAAAAAGTCATTGCTTCATACGTTAGTTGGGTCGTCAAGACTTGAACCATAGTCCGTAGGATTAGTAGTCCTAGGAGTCAGTCTATCGGTCTAGCCTAGGTCCTTCTAGAAGACAATTGACTGTAGCTGAGTCAGCGAGGGAGAAGTAGACCTAAGGCCTAGCGAAGGGTCAGTCTACCTAGCTAGGAATTTCTAGAAGTCGCTCATCGACTCTTCGAGACTGTAGGTGTTACATGCCCAGCTGGGCAATGTATGTATAGCCAAGGATCCGCAATGTGATAAAAAGGACTGAATGGACAATGCGATGTTAGTGGAATCTCAACAACCAATGTACATCCTGATACATCAGCGGCCACCGGTCTGGTCTATGCTGTTGCGGTCACAGACAGCAGTGATGGACCAGAGGGCTGGGGAAAYAGACGAGGCCTATCAGGCCCGCATGTTAGCCTGGAGTACCGAGACAAAGAAGCGAGCAGATGACGCTGCGGCGGCAGCGAAGAAGAAGGCAGAGGATGCCGAGCAGGCACGTCTGCTGGCCGTGGAACAACAGCGCCAGCACGACGAGGCAGCAGCAAGGGCTGCCGATGAAGAAAGAAC